CTTGAACATCATCGTCTTAACTCGGGAAAACAACAATGAAAACTCACTTTCTATAATCCTTCTTTCTGCAGGCCGCGTGATCTTCCACATGATCGGTGGATATGCTCCTCATGGAGTCAAAGAAGATTATGTCCTCAAACTCATGTTCATATATAGTGTTCTTAAACTTGAGATCTTTATTAAAGTGATTATGTTCTTAAACTCATGTTCATTGTGTTCTTATACTCATGTTCATATTTAGTAATTATGTTCTTAAACTCATGTTCATAGTTAGTGATTCTGTTCTTAGACTCATGTTCATAGTGTTCTTAAACTTAAGATCATTATAAAAGTGATTTTGTTATTAGACTCATGTTCATATTAATATTAAACTCATGTTCATATTAATATTAAACTCATGTTCTGAGATCCTCTGTTTCTGAGATCCTCTGTTTCTGAATCCGTTCTTTGTCAGAGCATCACATTCTGATTGCTGAAGCAGGAGCCAATTCCTTTTTGGGTGAACCTCTTAACTTCATAGGAAGTTCCGACCAAGGAATTTGCGTCATCAAGTCTTTGTATGACAACAACAAATATCTGATATTTTTTGCTGGTGAGTCACTGCGATAGTTCAAGTCCTTAGAGTTGGAACCATTAAAGCAAGAGAAAATGCAGCAGCTACACTCTTTTGACTTCTGTGAAGCCGGTGAGAACAAGCTATGCGATGCCTGCTTTAGTGGATCTTCTCTTGAACGGGACCCCGAGAGCAGCTGCGACAACATTGTTCAATCTCTGGATTGATTAGGAAAACAAAGGTATAGAGATTATAGCTGGTATAGTTACTGCATTGGTTAAGATGCTACGCTTTGACAATACTCTCGGACCCATGAAAAGACTGAGATTGTAATGAATGTTACTTGGAGTTGTTGTTTTGGGAGCCTGTTTAGTTTTTGTACTTATGAATACTTTCTTATGTGTGAACAACATTGGAGTCATTCTACATTTTTTTAATTCTTATTTTCATCAGCCTCAAGTTGATGTGGTTGTGGTTGCTTACAATGACGGTCAACAAAGATATGGTTGCTGGATATCCCATAGGAAAATATGTTTTAGTAATTAATTTTAGTTTAAAGATGTTCCGATTTTCCATAAGTACATACAGTGCTTTCACTTCTGTAGATTACATTTAAGCTTTTATGTTTGTGCTTCGTTGCTGGTGAAAAAGATTACTGTAAATGCACATATTTTGGCGATTGTATTTAATCAGATAAGCCGGTTATGGAAGGATTGTGGAAGTCGCGATTAAAAAATAAATTAGTTTGATTCAAAGAACCGAACAACGATACATAGATTTTGTTGAAAATGGAGATACCACAACCTCACTGTTTCATGACTCATTATGATGTTAGCTCTTTTCTTTTATGTACTACACAGACATCAATGAGTTTGGACACTTTTGCTTCTGCAGTTTTGTTTCAGAAGTTTGTGTTGTTTATGGAGATTTAGTGTGCTTTCGACATTTTTTTGTTTCTGCAGTTTTGTTTCAGAGTTGTGTGTTGTTTATGGAGAGTTAGAAACCTCTCCTCTATATTTTTTCTATAACACATTCCTTCACGAGATCAAAATCAAAACAAATTTTAATTTTCATATATAAACCGGTAAGCCCTCATCTATCTCAGTGAATAGTTTGACATTATCTGCGAAGATACTATTCTTAGACATTATCTGGGAAGATACTATTATTAGACAATGTCTATCCAGTAGAAATATTAACAGTCACCTTCAAGAATCCAACGTCTAAACCCATTATTCATAGCACAAAATATAACTAACCACATTTGACCAATTATCAATGGATTACAAAATAGGAATGGAAAAAAAAAACGAACAGAACCAATTCAAACCGAACAGAAACCGATCAAACTAAACTAAAGAGTAAAGTCTATCATCAAATAGTTTGGTTTAAGATTTTCCAACCCGGACCAACCAAACTGATTTAGAGTTAAATCGAACTGAGAATTAGTGTGTTTTGTAATTATTTGGATTAAACATACTAGCAATATACAATATACTAAAATCCTAAGACTAAAGTCACCATTAATTTTATTAACGATATTGAGATTTTTTTTGTTAAAATTTCTGTTTTTTTAACTTAGTTTGTTTGTGTTCTTATAATTGTTTTTGTGGGTTTTAAGTTTTTTTTTCCTGTTGTTTATTGAATTTAATTTACATAGTTTATTTTTAAAAGACATTATTAACAAGGTTTTTTGTAATTTTCTATTTACTTTAATTAAATTGCATTTAGTTATATTCTTATAATTGTTTCTGCTCTGAATGTTTTTATTTCAGTTTTGTAATGGATTAAGTTTACATAGTTTAGTTTTTTATAGTCACCCACATGATGATTTCTTTTCAAAGAACTAAAAGAAAATCTGATTAAACCGAATCAAAACATAAACCAAGCCGAATACAAATCGAACCGAAACTGGTCCAAACCAAAATAATTATGGTTTACATCAGTTGGGAAAATCCTAGAACTGATTTAACTGAACCGAATCAAACCCAATCTGCATCGATAAAATAACAGAAATGGCTACCCCTAATTATAAAACAAGTATAAATGTATAATAGAGATAAATAATTCCATAATTCATAATTTCTGATAACTTAATTATCTAATTAATTTTAAAAAATATTTCAGTGAAAATAGTTACGTTAATTTTTTTAAAAATATTATTAGTTAGAAAGAATTATATTTCCATTCAAAAACAACAAAAAAATGAATAAGCACTCTTATTAAGGGTTAAATTTTTTTCGTTATATAAAAATTTAATTTTTTTATATTTTATTTTTATTTGATTCCCGCCCGTAGGGCGGGTTTACTCTAGTATATATATATACTGGTGTTTTCCCGGGCTACGCCCGGGTTTTCATATATAATTTTTAGTTTAATTTAGTTTATTATAATAATTTTGAATATATATAATAGCTATATATTGATTTTTAAAAATATAAATCAGAAAATGAAGTTTCAATTATTAAATTTTAAACGAACTAATATTGATAGTAGATGTTATATGCTGTTTTAATTATGCTAAGATTTTAAATAAATTTAGATGATATTTGATCAAAAACTGTAATGTCTAGATGGGATTACTTGGTTATTGTTTGATGAACTACTTTTTGACAAGCTGATGTATTTAATAATGTCTTTGTATAGGTAATTTTTTATGCTTCAAACTTCTGACAATGTCTATTATAGTATTTTTAATAAAATTTTGCTTTTGATGTTGAAGCGAGTATATTTTTCTCCAATTTACTGAAAAAACTATAAAATATCATACCTGATAATTCAAATTTATATAACTTTATATATATATTAGTTTTGTTTAAAGTTTTAAAACTTAAAAAAAAAAATTGTATATTTATTTTTGTCAATAATCGTATATTAAAGTAGTGTATACTAAATTTTGTTATATAATCATTCATAACTACAATAATGCTACTATACTGAGTCTATAATACTTGATAGTTTTAAACAAAATTATATACTGAACTTTTTGTAAGCTTACACGCATTACAGATGCTTGCATGACATTTTGATAATTAATATAATTTTGATTCTTGAATAATTGTAGTAAACATGTGATAACATTTAGTGGAGGTTATTGATTCCACTATTTTAATGGATTTAGAAAAACATTTGTATTTTGGAAATCTTTGATAAATCGTATGATTTAAAATTGATAAAATAGATTTAAGAATCAAAGATATTGATTTCAAAATGTAAATAGCTTTTTACGGAAATCAAGGATATCCAAATCTTAATAAATCTTATGATTTTAAAATCTAACAAATAGATTTAAGAATCAAGGATATTGATTTCAAAATGATATTAATTTTCTTTTCATTTTTTTTTTACTTTCGGTTTCAGAATTGTTTTGTAATTCAGTTTTTCCTCGTTTTAGTTTGACTCTTGTTTGAGGTTTTAATATCAAGCAAATAGATATTGATTTCAAAATGAATATTGATTTTAAACTCTCATTTTACGGAAATCTTTACAGAAATCTTTTGAAATCAAGGATATTGATTTCAAATGAAAATATATTTAAGAATCAAGGATATTGATTTTAATATCGAGCAAATAGATTTAAAAATCAAAGATATTTATTTAGATATTTCATATTTAGAGATATGAAAGTTTTCATCCATTTTGAAGAATATGTTGAAAGTGAGAAAGTTTTTTTTTTATTTACTGAACTAAAAATATTTATTAAAAATCATATCATTTGTAAAAATCAATATAAATTCAAATAAAATAAAAGATTTTTATAATGGACCTAAAACATTTTCAACAAATGATAGAATGACAAGTATCATCTTTTATCTCTATGGAGAGAAAAAAACTCTATTTTATTATATAAGAGATGTATAAATATTTATTTTAGAAAAACTTTTGAAATATTTTATAACCAATAAATCATATATAACCATTACAATATAAATGCATATATAACATTAATAAAAATATACTAAATATAAGTACATTGTAAAAAAATACATTAACTTATATATATCATTTGTTTATAAATAAAAATATACATTAAAATTATTTGTAAATTTTCATTAAAATAGAAAAATCAAAAAAATAGTAATGAAATAGAAAATTTGTTTTAATTAATGTTTAAATTTTTATTAGCATTTATTGGTTCATTAAGTAAACTAAAATTTGTTAAATATAATCTAACTATAATAAAAGGAGAATATACTTCTCAATTAGGGTGTCCACGTCTTTTAAAATATTCGGCCAATCAAAACATTTTCTTTCGCCACGTCAGTACACGAAATTGGATACTCTTGGGCTCTTTTGTTTTATAGATTCGTTTTGTTTGAAGATTGAGGCCCTTTAGGCCCACGAACTGGGAACCTTAGAAAGCTATCAAGCCGACGATGCTTCGCTTCTCTGTTTCTTCACTTTCTTCGCTTTCTTCTTCATCGTTTCATCTTCTCGGAAAGAAGAGATGAAGAAGCCGGGCGGAACCGAGAAGAAAAGAGTTAAACGATCATCATGATCTTCATCCTCCACCGCTAGATTCTGGTTCCGATCCTCCACCTAGGGTTTGCTTCTCTCTTCTCTCATTCTCGCTAATCTCTTTCAGACGAAACATTGTGTTTAGGTTACATTTGCCTTTTGTTTGATCTGTTTCAGTATCTGTTGGAGAATAAATCTGTGATTACTGTTTGCTAAATTGTATGTACATGCACAGATATGTGTGTATTCACATCACTGTTCTTGTGTAATGTTAATAATGTCATGCGTGGACTATTATATTGTTGAAAGTTTGAGTCATTGGCCTTTGTAATGTGAATTGATCCTTTTTTATTTGTACATTTACTAGAAGCAAGGTGTGAGTAAGGATGCGTTTCAGTTGTTTGCCGAGAAAGTTAGGGACAACAAGGGGTTGGAATCAAGATGGGCTGTTATGGAGGAAGCACGAGTCGAATACGTTAGAGGCAAATATTTTGTCAGCTTCTTAAAGAATCCCCTCGAGTGTAAAGAGATTCTTGAAGAAGATAAAGACCTTGACGCGGAAGATATTGCTAATGTGTTGTTGGAAAAGAACGTTTTTGTCCGTTGTGATCGTGTTACTAAAACTGCTCGTCCTGGGAAGAAAAAGCTCTCTACTTGGCCTGCTCATATTGAGATTTACACGTGTAAGTGTATTTGGTCTTGGTTCATATGATGGGCTGTTGTTTATTTCTCAAGTATTTAAGGTTTATTTTTAATCTTTGTAATGTGCAGAAAAATCAAGGTTTTCTCTGAAACTGATGCGTTTCTTGCATGGACGTTTGAGAAAAGGCATCCACTGTGGCAAACGCTTCTGTCCTTCTGGCTAATTTGTAATTTAAATGGCGAGAGGGACTAGAATAGGATATAGTTATGACTTATGGCTCTTGATTATTGGGGAGGGAAAGAACATTACATGATGCTAAGCTTTTGTTTCTTTAAGTATGGGGTACCTAGCTGGGAACAATAACAAATAAGTGGCAGGGTTTGCTTCTTTTTTTACTTTAGCTTGGGATCGTGAGCTGGAGTACTACGTAACTAAAAGCCACCATACTTATCCTCGCAATTTGTACATCTACTCTGTAATAACTGTTCTTCCTTGACATTGAAGGTTATGTAGATCAGGTTAATCCTTCCTAGCTTATCATCCTGGTTTAGTGAGGAACAAATTGGCATATCATGGTTTTGCTGAGCTTTTCCACGTAAATTTTTTCAACCTTCTCCATCTTTATTCGTTGATAAAACAAAGTGTTTATATCAGAAACTCTTTTTTTTCCTGCCTACCATTTGTGCTCGAGTTACATAGGGAAGTATTTTTAAACGGTGGAGTTGGTTTCTTACATCATTGTTTCTATTTTAAAGGATCTTCACAGTGAACTCATTCAGTATCGGCGTGCTCAGATGATCAAGCAGAAGTTTATTTCAGAAGAACTTATTGTAGACTCACACTTGCGCAGGGACAATGGCTTATCTCCTCTCATGCCAGAACAGGTAAAACCCTGAGCTTCTCTCAGGTTATACTAAAAATGCTTAATATGGACACATTTGTATATCTTAATACCCTTTACGGCTACCTTCATTTTTTCTCTTAAAGCCTGCCTTGGAAATCTTTCTATGTGTTTTTCTTGGAGTTTCTAATGAACATATATAGATGCAGCATCATAATTTTTCCGTTTACATGTGGTTCATATGCAACATGAACTTTCATTTCCTATGAATTTGTATTTCCTTGGTTAACACTTATCGAGAAACACATTGACAGAGTGGGAATGACAGCCTGGAGATCATATGCCTGGTGCTGGAGCAATCACATGAAACCACAGTCTTGGACTTGAGAGCACACTGTGAATGATGGTGATCGTGTTGGTAATGGTGATGTTGAAGGAAGAGGTGAGGCATCAAATCCACAAGACAGCTATGTTGATGGAAGCAACAAAGGAGAGGTGGCATCTGTGGAGGAAGATTGGTATTCTGCAGAGAAGACACGAAATGAGTAACACTAAGAGATCAATGAGAGCTTAAGTTGCAAGACAGGATGACACTTTCGATGCATTGGTTTGTAAATAAGATCTCCAGACACTATTACTTCTGAGAACTACAAAGTTTCTGCTTTTATTATTTTCACTATTCTTTTTGTAACTTATTTTTAGTTTTTCTGTTTAGAAACATTTTATTCGTATCAGTCATTTTTGCATTTAAAAGTATTAATATCATGTTCACCAACTGTCCAACACCATTCCCTTTTCCTACGAAAACATAATCTAATATTCCGTTCCTTTTTTTTTACGAGAAGCATCATGCAACATAGAAAATCAGTACATGAAAAAACAGGCCCATAACATCCAGATACTCTTTCAATCATCTGTTGACAATTTTCTTGCACCCTTATACTGCTTAACTTAAACAATTATTCGTCAGTTCAAAGATGCACAATCCTTCGCTGCAAACAAATTAAAGAGTAGGAACCGTAAACAAAAAAAACATAGTTTACACATCTACGGGGTAAAAGATTGAGGATTCGCAGCAGCGTTGACAAGGAGAAAGAGTGAGTCATCTGAGTAAGTATGACACGGCAAGAACATCCGGAAAAACTCGAACCATATATTTGACATGTATAGAAAATTATATTAACATTTAAATATGTTTTGTAAATTATTTTAGTTTGGTATCATCAAAATAATTAGTATAATGTTCAAAATAAATAAATAATAATTAGTATAGTAAATAATATTCTGCCAAAATATGTTTTTAGAAACTATACCTGCCAAAATATGCAAAGTATAGATTATAAACCATCCATTGTACTAATATTAAAACTTATGTATCTGCTTTTATTTTTAATAATCTTCATTCAGTTTGTGATTCACTGTAGATTCAAAGTAACATAAAATTTTACTTTTTATTTTTGTAAAGATAATTATGAGTCAAATGAGATACTACTATCTACAATACACATATCTCTTTTCACAAAGTAAACATAATATCGAATTATTACCGTATTTTGATACACTAAATAACTTATATATAAAAGGCTACTGTATTTTCATATATAAATTATTAATATGCATTAATATTTGTTATACTTATTTTTCTAAAATTTCACGAAAAGAGTATTTCATATATTAATTACCATAATAACATTTAACAATTAGCCGATATAACTAAATTATTTTAATAAAATAAACAACTAATAATTAAAAACCCAGTGGCGTAGCAACTAAAGATAATGTGAGGAAGACATAAAGTTGTATTTTCAGTTATCACAAATATATAATCAATTGACAACAATTAAATCATATCCAGCTTAATACAATAGAGAAGAGTTTCCATACCTTCTAATATAAATATCTCAATATATTAGTGGTTAAATCAGTTGTCTCTCACACAAACACTCACTCCATTCGTGGAGTTTAAGTTTTTCTATCTAATGATATTAGTAGTTTGATCCACAAAAAAAGAAATGGCCGAACTATACATTGTAATTGGAGAAAGAAAACAAACAGAAATCAACTGAAGACTTTAAAGATATATGAACATGAAGTAGAACGACTGGGTGGAGTCATAAAACATTTTTTGTCTTGATGGATCCCAAAAATGGTGTAATCAGTGTTGAGTGAAGAAGAAAAAAATAAATGGAAGTCAAAAACATGATGAAAGTTCTGAGAAAATGATGTATTTACTCGGAAAAAAAATTATGAGAAAATGAGTCATTACCTGATGTTAGTCCAACAAAATAATTGTAATGACGTCCGAAGAATATATAAATACAAAATTATTAAACAATGAATACATGATATATACAGACATCAACATACAACTTATTTGCAAATAAAATTTTCATATATAACTTAAGAATGACTAAAACTATATGTCATGAAAATATGTTGTATATTTGTGATAAATATTTCCAGCCACATTAAATTTTCATGAATTTTTTTATTTATAGAAAAATAGTAAAAAAATATAGATATCATATAAATTACTAAAAAATACCAGATCCTTTAAATAATAACAAAGAAAAGATATAATCAAGGTACAAAAATTGGAAATAGCAATTCCTGCAATTAAAGAATCAGGCAATAAAGTTGTAAAAATACGAAATAAAACAAAAATATACACGAAAATAAATATTTAGTAAAATAAAATCATAATATAATTTCTATAATTAATAATGGTCAGTTAAGCTAAACTTTCTAAATTTACAACATACACAGTTTTATTTACATCTTTAAACATATTACCTAATTAAAATGATTTTAAAATAAATGACAACATGAATATTGGAAAATATAAATAGAAACTATACGATAAAATATAATACATAAAATGTTAAAATTACATTATCACTGATCACTACAAAATTATGTTCGTAGCAATGAGTGAAATGACAAACACATTTATTACAACCATAGAACGGCACACAACAAAGTACTATTAAATATACAAACAACAAATTAAATATGCTCAACGTAAACACATATAAAAATGAAACATCATATTTGGATATATTTAAATAAATAATTTCATAAAATAACATACAAACAAAACTAAAGCAATATTTTATAATTTCAAAATAATAAATGAATAAAATATATTGTGTTAATAAAATATATTTTAGATTTTAATGAGTTCTAACTCATGTAATATTATAAAAATAAAAATAAAATATTATAATTAATATTTAACCATTCGACATATTAAAATAATATTCTAGATTGATATGCAATTGTCAGTTTTCAACTACTACACGTAAAAAAATATTACTAAGTACCTTTTTGAAAAGGGGGTTTAATATTTTAAGTAGGTTAATGGAGTATTTTTTTTTTTGTGAATTTATTCGAGATGAGATTCTGATCTTTAAAACTAATATAATTTAAGTTATAAGCATAATTTTTTTTTACATAAGTCTAAAACCTCGAACTCAATTCTTCATATTTTATTATTTAATTTTCTTATATATAATAGAATTATATTTGACAATAGTATAAATTTAATGGTATATTGAAGATAATTATATAACTAAATTAATACCAATGAATTATATTCAAATACTTATTGCAAACTGAAGTTATAAAATATTCAAATTTAAAAATTAATTAACTATAATTTAAAATATAAAAACTGACATAAAAATAAAAAATTTAAAGGATCTTGTAAATATAAAAGCATCATTAAAAGAAGGTGACACATAGCATTTTTCCCTCTAAGTAGTGAAAAAAACCAACTTTATCATATAACATTAATAAAAATAAACTAAATATAAGTACATTGTAAAAAAAAAATACATTAACTTATGTATATCATTTGTTCATAAATAAAAATATATATCAAAATTATTTGTAAATTTTCATTAAAATAGAAAACTCAAAAAATAATAATGAAATATTTTTTTTTAACACTGGATAATTATGCCATTACAAACTACGAGAAATGTTACAGACGATTCAACAGCCAACAATTCTATATCTATCTTATGACGATTTACGCACGCCTAACTGCATCACCTGAGCCGCCCTATCGGATCCACGCTTGACGATACTTCTTGTGCTATGCTGCAGATCTCTTGTAAGCATTTTCTCCATTAATTCGCATAATTTCGTCTTTTCTGGGATCCGAACCCCATACCTGCTGGTAGGCCTGGGCGTTCGGGTATCCGTTGGCGTTCGGATCGGGTTTTTCGGGTTTACGCTCATAGGTCCCATTCTAATATTTTACTAGTATGGGTCGGGTTCGGATAATAACACTTCGGGTTCGGTTCAAATTTGTATTGCAGCATAAAACCCGTAAAGTAACCATATATCGTTCGGATTCAGGTTATTTCAGTTCGGTTCGGATATACCTGAAGTATAAAACAAAATTTCGAAACAAAAACATAAAGAAAAACATTGAAACTGAATATAAATTAAGGGAAAATTGCCAAATATGACTCAAAACTTGATTTGAAATGCAAAAGTAAACCCAAACTTGAATCAAATGCAAAAGTAACTTAAAAGGCTATTGAAATTACAACCAACTCCTTGTGAACAAACAAAAAACGCGAATTTTTTTTACGTTTCTAGCCCTCGCAAGTCGTCTGCCCAGACGACTTTCAAATAAGTCGT